TTATATATATTTATAAAAAAGAAAAAAAAATAATTATTGATTATTACAGTTATGTACTAATACTTGTATGCAGATCGCAATCAGATGCACCGCGTGATTTCCGCGCGAAACAAACTGCGCGGACGTATTCACGCGGAATCCGCCTTGTCTGAACGTAGCTTAAAGGAATCTCTTCTATATGAACATAATGTGATATAAAATATAAAAGACATACATAACATTATTAGAATGTATTAGTGCGAAACGGCATAGTGTATTGATAATGTATTTGTATACTGACAGTAGCAGTATCGACTTAAGCAAGCCTATTATTATTTCGACACGCACGTATGACGTCATAGATAGCAAAGAGATCTTAAGATTTTAATTAGACAGTCGATGTGATCAGACAGTTATGTTATCGAATGTTAATCTTCATTTTTCACTATTACTTTATTGCAGAAAATCTCTTAAATTAAAATAAACAAATTATTTAGTTTTGATGGTCAGTATTATTAGAAAGGAAAAAAACCTCAATGTATTCTTATTTCTCAATAATTAAGTAATTATTTACATAATAATTATACAGTAATTATTTATCACAGTTGAACTTTTGATCTATTTAATCAATTTCTTCGTGAAAAGATTAATCATGTTTTGTGTATTACAATTTAATAACTAACCGTTTTGAATAAGCACAATTAAAAATTATTTGACAGATCTTCAATGATCTAATTAATAGATCCCATATTTAATTGATGAATATTTTATTAACCATAATCGACACAATAAAATTTCTTTTCAAGACTAAAAGTTTTAACAACACACTTGACTTTATGTAATGCAACAAAACTTCTCCACAATACGTAGCTTTAATATAATAAAATACATTAATAGCCTATTTTTGCAATTTTAAAAGTAATAAATTTTAAACAAACTTTTTAAAATTGCGGCGATGTAACAATTTGGAAGCCAGAATTGTATCTAACGTAAAAAAAAAAAAAAAAAAAAAAAAAAAAAAAAAAAAAGGTAAAAACGCGGTAGGTCTACGTGAATAATGCTCGGACCGGATGTGCTGCCGCGCGGGCACGCACGGCAGATGGAAGAGACACACGACGCCATGTCCTCGCCATGTTTTGATGTCGTCATCCCGCTCCCCCTCTCCTCCCCCCTTCACCCCTCGGACGTGTTACGGCCGTGCAGCACAATAGCCCGTCGTGTTTTTTAGCGTGTGTTTTTCCGTAGATTCAAATCGCACGTTCCCGGTGGTTCCTGGTGGCTCGGCTCTCGTCACGTATTCTCCAGCACCCTCCCCGTTCAATCGTATATACGCCGCGCGAGGCTGGATAACCCTCCTCGTAGAAGATTCGCTGGGCCCGCGGATGTCTTCATGTTCGTGGAAGTAGTTGCGGGGGGGGTCAGCGAGCATCGTCCACACGGTGATCGTGTCTCGGTGCGAGACGGGAGAATCGATCGTACCCCTCGTCGCCACTTACGTTAGCACTGCCTCCCGCCGTTGACTCTTTTTTTATTTCGATCGACGGCATCAAAACGCTTTGACGTTCTCTTCTTGGCGTCGCCAAGACGTGGTTACATCACGCCACCCTGAGGGGGCGGATCCAGCGGATCCATCGGATCTTAGAGGAACGGGCAGAGCGCGCCTCGCGTGCGTGCGTACGTACGTACGTGCGAACGTGCGTGCGTGCGTGCGTGCGTACGTGCGCGCCTTACGTTCTCCTTTCACGTCTTCGTCTTGATTATACGAAGAGACACGAGGAAAGGGATTTAAAATGGAGTTACGCCTGCACTCGCCAGCAGGAGCGGAACCGATCGTGTATCAGTGGCCTCTTACCTCGGGATCGGGATCGGTGAGTAGATTATTTAAGAAAATGAAAGCTACGTAATATTACAGTGACAAGCATATAAGCATCAAGCTGATAAAGGATGAAGACACGATTGAATTGTGATCAATTTTAATAAAGAATTTGTTTCCTTATTCTAACTTATTTGTTCACGTCACTTATTTATTGTTATAATATTGATGATTTTCTTCTACGTTGTATCGCTTTACTGCGCTATGTGTATTATGTTTATATTACATGTTATATGTATATATTATAGGATCGTCACGATGGGGCATTGGACGTTATCGAAACTATGCGATGGGTTTGTGAAGATTTGCCAGATTTGAAATTACCCTTAGAGAATAATATTCTTTGTAATTATGATCCGAGAGATTACGAAAGTATGAAAAGCTTATGTGACAGATTCAACAGAGCAATTGATAGTTTAGTACAATTGGTACGTGTATTTTTATTATACAGCATTGTATAGGAAATATACTAAATGTAATCGATACATATACAAATGTTACAATTACATATTACTGTTGGGAAACATGTTATGATTATATATCATATTATTGGGAATATCTACAGGAAAAAGGTACCAGTCTACCATCCCAGAGATTAAATAAGAGACCTAGTAGGGGTTTACTTCGTCACATACTTCAACAAACTTATAATCAAGCTGTGGTCGAACCAGATAAGTTAAATCAATATGAACCTTTTTCACCGGAAGTCTACGGCGAAACGAGTTACGAGCTTGTATGTCAGATGATCGATCAAATTGATGTGACGGAGGACGATGTCTTTGTTGATTTAGGATCTGGAGTAGGTCAAGTAGTTCTCCAGATGGCAGCTGCAACTTTATGCAAAATTTGTATCGGTGTAGAAAGGGCTGATGTACCATCAACATATGCACAAGTACGGTTAATTAAGTTAATAATTATAGCTTAATCATTGATTGTAATTATATAAATGAATATATCTATTTATACAATTATAATATTTACAGTTTTAATATTGTATTGTGTTATAATAAGTGACATGCTCTATATTATCATTATAGAGCATGGAAGTAAACTTTCGCAAATGGTTAAATTGGTATGGAAAAAGATGCGGGGAATATCGTTTGGTAAAGGGAGATTTTTTAGCGGATGAACATCGTGAAAGTATTACTGGAGCTACGATAGTATTTGTTAATAATTTTGCGTTTGGCCCGACAGTTGATCATCAATTAAAAGAACGCTTTGCCGATTTACGAGACGGCGCGCGTATAGTATCTTCGAAATCGTTTTGTCCATTGAACTTTCGAATAACGGATAGAAATCTGAGTGGTAATATATACTTGCCTATATTAATTTAAATACAATACTTCATAATTTTTATCATACAAATTTTATTTGTCCAACAGATATAGGCACGATAATGCATGTCTCAGAGATGTCGCCATTAAAGGGTTCTGTCTCTTGGACTGGTAAGCCGGTGTCGTATTATTTGCACGTGATTGATCGAACTAAATTAGAACGTTATTTCCACCGCTTGAAAAACAATAAACAAGGTGGCTTAGATGAAAACTCTGATTCTGTGATAAGCAACACTGCCAGCAATAGTAGTAAGGTTTCTAATAGGAATGAAAGAAATGATAGAGCCAAGAGAGACCTTTCGAGACAATTGGACAGTCCAAATCATTCGGAGCAGCAAGGAACAAATAGTGACTCTGAGCTAGACGAGAATTCTATCAAAAGTCGTCGACAGCCGAACAAAATACGGAGGAAATTCAATAGAAAAACTACGAACGGCATTACGAGAGCTCCTGCTAGAGGTAGACAGAGAGGAAGAGGCGTTAAGAGAGCCAAGCCTAAGAAGACGATCAATATATCTGGATTAGACCTGTTACATAGTCAAACTTTGCTCAGTACATCACCTCAAGCTCTTGGGAAAAAACTTCCACCTGCTCCTGGTTGTGTAGATCAACAATTGTCTTCATTGTCGCTTTCTTTACAGCATTCCACCTCAGTGCACGAGGAACTCAGTATACCATCCGCTCCGTCCGCGACTCCTTACGCTCTGCAAATACTTTTGGACTTGTATAGGTAATTGTTTTATATTTTTTCTTTTTTTTCTATCCTTTTTTGCTACTATTTTTATGAAAATTAGAAATATATTATACCGCGTATATTTGTCACAGGGACCAATTCATGCTCATGTTAGAATCAATGAGAACACCCACCTACAAAGTATCTGTTAATACGGATATCGCGAAAGAGAGAGAAAGGAACTCTAAGCTTCAGTCGAGAGCAGCGCAATTGGAGAAGCAAATTAAAGTACTCATAGATGATAGTGTAGCTCTCTTGAAGGCGAGAATGACTGAATTAGGTATCAATGCTACGTCACCTGGAGATCTGCTAGCGAAAGCCAAGGAAATAGTTCTAAGACATAAACAGTTACAAGCTAAGGCGAGCAAATTGCAAGCACAAGTGGCGTCTATGGAAACTGAACAAAGCAGATTAGTGGCGCTTAGACATCAAGAGTTGCAGGAAAAATATAATGGTCATGGAAGCGTGAACGGCATAACAAATCCACCTCAATCGCTTACTCAAGATTATATATTAAAAGAAATTTCCGCCACGCGTAAACGATTACATTCTCAAGTATGTATCTTGTTATTTAAAGCATTTATTAATCGATTTCTAATTTATACAATTATATTGTTTTCCATCTGTTTAATCTGTTCTTCTTTTTTCCCTTTTTTATATGTTAGATGCATTATTGAAATAGATTTATTTTTTTCCAAAATAGGTCTCGAAACTAGAGCACGAATTGAATGTTTTGGAGAGGACAAGTAACGAGAAGCAAGTAGCTGCAATTGCTCAGCAACAGAGGGATATGATGGGAAATAAACACTCACAAAATTTACATCATCAACAGCAAGTTAATAAAAATGGAACAACGCGAAAAAGTAGGGAAGGCCGTTCGAGATCGCAGGAATGGCCCGATGTTCCAGACATAGGAAAGATACAGGAAAATAATCCAGAAATATTAGCGCAAAAGATTTTGGAAACCGGAAGGCAGATAGAGGCAGGCCGTATCCCACACAGGCAGAGTACGAATGGCAACAATAATTCCAGAACTAGACTGCCACAAGCATCTCTCAGTTTTTCTAATGCATCATCCGCTAATTCGTCCACACAATTACCACAGACAGTCAATAAAGATGTGTCGAATAGAACTCAAGAACCACCCAGAGTCGCCAATTTTGAGGACAGATTGAAAAGTATCATCACAAGTGTATTGAACGAGGACCAACAGAACAGGACTAAGCAACAACAGATGCAGTTGCAAGTGCAATTGCAAAGTCAAGCTGAGTCCGACAGAAAGCGCGTTCCATTACCGCAAAGTGTTTCTACTCCGGATTATACTCAGGTAAATATATTGATCGATGTCTATTTTCTCTTTTTGTTTTTAAATGCGCGCTTTGCACTCGTGTAATTCCGCATTTCCAGTGATATTTTAACAACAGATTGCGGTATTGCAGGTTTCACCTGCGAAACTAGCGCTTCGCCGTCATCTCTCGCAGGAACGCATCTCATCATCTCATTCGACATCGTCCGACAGATCGACGGTCGATTCTAGACAATCATCGGGTCATGACAATCGACTTGTAACTGGTGGAAGTGGATTGCTTGTCTCTACGGTCGGTGAACTCATGAATGGAGAGATAGAAAGGACTCTGGAGATATCCAATCAGTCTATAATAAACGCCACCGTTGACATGAGCACGATAATAAGACCGGAAACCGTATACTCTCCCATTAGTAGACCAGCGAGTGCCGAAGGAGACGCCGGTTTGTCGACTTTGGCACATGTAGCTAGTTACGTGCCCACCTCTTCGGGAGCTTCCACTTCCACGCCCACAGCTAGTTCAAGATCGTCCGTACTCTTTACTCCAGTATCGCAGCCGCAAAGGTATTTATACCTCGATTTGATACGGTTATTTTATGCGATCTATTGATATACATTACTATAGATGAAAATGTATCGCTTCCATCCAGATATACACCGGTCCAGTTACCGCGAGCGGACATTAAGCCTTATCACGAATCCTACTTTTCGGATAATCCCACTCAGTCGCTCACGCAATCCCACTCGGCGCCACCACCTCTACATTCGTCGTCCCAAGCTACGTCAAATGGGGAATTATTGCCTGTAGAAGGGCTCGCAGCATCATTACATGCCCGAATATTGAACAATCATAATAATAGCGGTAAAACCGAGTCGACCCTTTCCAGCAATAGAAGGTAATAATACTTCGAAACGGTATTAATATCGAAAGATGAGAGGTTGATCAAGCATAATATAACGCATTCGCTACATTCGTAGGTTTCAACCATATCCACGATACGCAACGAACAGTAATAGTAACAGCAACAACGCAAATACGACAAGTGCAAATGCAGTAACAGCAATTTGCCAGTCGCAAACATCAATGTCCATAAAAACGGAAGCGGTTGTATCATCGGTAAGCACAAGCGGAGCGCCTTTGAGTCCTCTCGTGGAACCACATTCTAATACGTCGACGCCGCTAGTTGACGAACCTCAGATGACGACGCAGAGTCAACGAAACGTCGTTGGAGATGACGGTAAACGGAATGATTTAATACTTTCTGGACGCTTCTGAAAACGTCCTGTTAGATTATTAGTATGAAATGTATACGCTTGTGGAATGAAACTGTGCTCCAATTGAGTATGCTTCGGTACAATAGCTATGGAAGATTTGTCGTAATACGTGAAGCGAGCTATAAAATTCTCGAATAATGCTTCAGTTTGTATCAAAAAATATATACATTCGAATATACGATTTGGCAAATAGACCGCGTTATATAAATTCAAGTTGTTAAATAACGCGATTTTGAATATATAGTAACACTGTATATTAATTGTCAATCTGATCCGACTCGCGAGAATACATTTCTCCTTACGCAATTTTTTTTATGCAAGAATATGTACAGCTGCCTCTGTTTCATTATTTTATTGTTAGTATTCTTATCAAATATACATAAGGAATATAGAATAGTATGATACTGTTGATAAAAATATCATAAAATCTTCGCGCTATATAAATACCGCTAAACGCCACCTTGCTTAGATATTTTTCTAGATACTATTATATTAATTTTTTTTCTCTATGCATCTCTCCACGTATTTACATGCACTAATGGTTTAGCTTATCTTACGGAGCTGGTATTTTGACTTTTATTTATATTTATTTTTGTTGTTGTTTGCTGTATTTGTTAGATGCACTGTAGCTGTTTATTGGTTAGTTCTCTCTGTCACATACTCGATCTCAAAATCCCTGAGGCTTGTTTTATTAGAGATTGAGACACGCACACAGATCACAGAGAAGGGAGAAATGAAAAAAAATACACGGCTGCCTGTGGGTTGGTTCGTCGGTACGTTGTCGCCGGTGAGTTGTCCCACGGGGGTCAAAATTCATTTTGTTTTATTCGATTCTCTAATCATTTCGTAAATTATATATAATAGTTTATTTTTATTTATCTTTTCTCCTTGCCTTATGCGTGGATGTAAGAGCAGCGTTTATATTCTTACTTATTTTGGAAAAGGCATTACTAGTTTAGAAATCAGTTTCCATGAAAATAAGCCACAGACTCGCGCAAGGATAGAAATTCGATTTCATGGATGAATTATATGTACATAGATATAGCATGTTAAGAGTTAGAGTTTGAACAAATATATTCTAATTGATGGGCTTTATTTTACTTTTAGTGCATGTTGCATGTGAAAATTTCGAAATATTTCTATTTATTTTGCGCTAGTATCACGTTCAACTTTCAATGCAACTTTTTCAAATTGGTCAATTGATACAACATATTTTATTGTAATATTAGTATATCTTCTTCTTTTTTTTTTTTTATATGTTTTTCAGCGTATGATACATTCTATATTTGCAAATGATGTAGCAATCACAGCTAAAGAAATTGATTTTATTTTTTAAATTTACAAACTATAATTTCTATCACCTATATGATTCAATAAAGAATAAAATTGAAATTAAATTGACTTTAAATTCCATGTGTTCTTTTGTTTTATGCATTTAATAAAAATGTAATATAACTGGTTTAGTGCTTTAAAAGGTACTTTAATATTTTTTCCCCCTAAATCTTTATACACACAGTATTCATGTTGTATATATTGCTTACTAATAAGTAATGTGTATATATATAAACTTTATATTAACTTATATATAAACTTTTGATGTAACTTTTATTTTGTAGAGGATATATATACATTTTTTTATAAAAAAATTACATAAGTTATATTAATAACAAAGATATATAACGATAAAAAAATAATCATAATTTACATCATATTATTGTATCAGGGTTATTGGCTTATTTTTATGAAAATTTGGTGACATACAGCTTGTTTAACGCTTTATTTATATGACATCATGATGACTGATCGAGATTTATTTTGCAGATGCAGAAGCTGCTTGGCGGAATCGTATTAGCTCAGGATTTGATCGCTTGGCCGACTTTGCTTCCACAGAATTAGATAAACGTAGACGATCGACGGAAGGAGTGAATACAAGTCCCGATAGTGGATTGGGTTCAGATAGCGCGGTGACGGGACCACCGCCTGTAGTACCTTCACCCGACGAAGCGTTAGGACCACCAAGAACCCCGTCTCCGACTAGTCCTCGTCCTGCGAATCTATCTAGCGGTAATCCTCCGAGTAGCGCATCTTCTTCGGTACCTCTGAAGTATCAACGACAACCAGATCCCGAGCGACATCACTTTAAAAAGAAATTTTTTCATCGCGATTGGAATAATTCTGCGAGTACTAGCAAATTTCGTCCTAAAGGTAAAGATTGGGATTGGAATCATTCCGGGCAATGGCCTTCGAATGACGAACAATCTTAACTCTGTCTATATGCAAAAGATAATTTTCTATGTAATCGATGAAAAAGGATTTCAATTGTTTCTCCGAACGTAGGCAAAATGAAAGAAATGTTGTTTTTTTGCTTTTAAAATTATTACATATTAATCAAATTAATTTTTATTTTATTATTAATAGCTCTCTTGTACAGTGTAATAACGGACGACATGTTTAATTGCGAAGTACAATACATAGAAGGGAACGTACATACGTTTTGTATCATTTGACCGATAAAAGATTAGTAGAACGAAAGAGATGAGGTTGCATGGTGATGAGGTCTATGTGAGCGTTTGAACGAAATCAATCCTGACAAACACGCTTGTGGTTCACTTAGCATAAAATATATTTGTATTACAATGAATATAGTTATGAGACTAATTAATAAGATGATAGGATTCATCAATTCAAGTTTATGCGGATTGAAATTGTAAGGCTATTAGGAATTACCCATATATATTGGGAGGAATTTACAGACTCTAAAAGAAGGTTATGAAAATATTACTCGCTGATGTAGCATTTTAACTTATTATTATCATTATCATTATTAGTAATCAGGTTTTTTGTAAGGCTTTGCGAATAATTATCTCACCGATTTAATCTTTTTTAACACAATTACACAATACTATCGAGTTCGTATGCCGTGTCTATAGATACAAAACGTCTCGTAATCTACGCCTGTATACACACACACACACATATATACATAGATAGTTAGATAGACATGTTAGATACTTTAGAGAAATATGTTATAGAAGCGATCACACATACTGTATGTATGTAGTATGTATGTATGTATGTATGTATGTATGTATGTATGTATGTATGTATGTATGTATGTATTATATAATGTATGTATGTATCTGTCTGTGTGTCTCTGTGTGTGTGTTTGTGTGTATGCTGTATTTTGTGTGTGTGTGTGTGTGTGTATGTTGTACGTATGATCGTATGTATCACAGGCGTTTTACGGTAGACTGATAGAAGGAGCAATTGGTATTGGCAAGAAAAAAAAGAAAAAAAAACAAGCCAGCAAAAAAAAACCTTTGTGTGTTCGTAGCAAATATCTGCTGCAAATTTTACATGCGGCTATATCTTCCACCACTTCTGGAAGATGTATACCTAAGTGTTCACTGTGGTTCATAGAAAATTGTGGCAACGAACCGCAAAAAAATAGTCACTTAAAATACAATTGTGTTTTAAAGTGGGAAGTCGAAAATGTAAATCTGTTTTTCGGTACACATCTGCATAGATTATTGTACAACCATGCGGAATATCCAAAGAATGGCAGAGTTGGCGAGTCGATTTACAAAAGTTTTAATTGGTGCACCCGTATTGGGCATCGTGTCCAATATCTTTTTTCGGTGCTCCAAAATGGAAAGTCGAGTAAACGTCACGTAAACATCAAGTAGTAGTACTTCAAGACGCTTTAAAAATATGATGCGACATTGTATGTATAAAAATCCTTTCTTTCTTGCGTTGCCGAATTATCCTGATCATATATTATATATATATGGAAGGATTATCACACGTGTTAGACTGTGAGAAATTATAGTTAACGTATTATTTAATATATATCCCCCCTCTATATATGTCATTATACATTTGTAGTTATAACAAGCATTGCCAAGCATGCTAGATACACTGCCGAAATTTCTATGAATTAATTTTATTATTGATCACAATTATTATTTATTGTTTTTATTGAGATATTTTAATACTATTACTATTTGTAAAACAAGTATAACGTTTTTTCTCTTTCATTTCTACCTTCCCGCATTTAACGGTTTTCTAGCGGTATTTATGAGATAATGTTATAACTGAAACAATTGCTCTCTCTCTCCCTTTCTCTCTGATTATAAACATAATTATCATTATCTCCTTTACTGAGGCAAATTTGCGCGAAACAATGTATAATATAATGACAAATTTGGAGATTGATTGTAGAATCTAAGAAATCAAATCGTCAATTAAAGATAAGTGTGCGACTATTGTTGCCTGTGACATACTACTACACATATCAGCGGTAAATCAATTTTTCACTGAAAATTAAATTGAAAATTACATCACGCGGGTAATATAGATAAATCACAAATTATATAATTACAGCTCGAAATCAAAATATATACATACGTATATAAAAATACGTACAAATAGAGTCAATGACATCACGGATGTTTTTGAATACAGGTGCCAGCATGCATTTTATATATGAATTTTCGAAATGATAAAAAAATATGCGGGTTAACGCGTATATGTGTATATATGTATTCAAAAATATATAAAGAGACGTTAACATTATAATCTTTCAACTACTCTTGAACTTGAAATAGCATGTGGTAATGAGCATGCCGTCCTCCGTATTAAGATTGGTGTTGGTAGTTTTATTGAACGAAGCGTACGCTCGTAATACGCGGGACACCGAAGTGATATTGCTACCGATATGGGACTCGAAAGGTGCATTGGAGGTATGTATAGGATATATCCTTATTATGTGATAATAGCATATTCTTTTTATTTTTTAAATACCTGGGAAAAAAATATTAATCAAGTATATACGTGTATATATTTGATGTTTATTTGATTATAAATTGACTTTCTTCCCAGAGTAGATATCAAGAGAAAGAAAAAGTTTTTAATATACCGATTATCCGATTTGTGCACAGATTCCATTAACTTTTAAAGTATTTGGGCAATTGATCCAGCTGAGTCTACGTAGAAACGACAAAATTGTATCGTCCGACTTTCAAGTGTGGAAACATAATGCTAGAGGCGTCACGGAAGAGTTGTCGCAATTAAATGCACCAGATCCTTGCTATTATCTTCACGAGGATCATATCGGCTCCGCGGCCATAAGTTTCTGCCAAGGACATGGATTGGTCGGTGGTATCTCTAAAAATAAAAAAAAAGTTCTATTCCTTTACTCGTCCTTTCTCTTTCTCTATTTCTTTTTTTGATCGTTTCGCGTATGTATATGGAATATAAAAGATTAATGTATCTCTGTTGGAAGTAGCACGGGCTCGTCTTTCTGGAGAACGTCACGTTGGAGATTACGCCGTTACGAAACGGCATCGAGTCTTCGCCCTTACTCGTCGACGATGATCGTTATATCAAAGAAGAAACCGATTTTCTCGGTAAACCTCATGTGGTTAAACGATCATCCATACGAACTCGGAATCTCGAGACTCCGAAACGAACACGAGCTACGAGAGAGCGATTGACATTAGAGCTGGCCGTCTTTTTCGACGAGACGGCGTATCGTTTATTCTCGCCCTTCTTGGACGGGGACGACGAAAAGATTCGCGATATGTTGTTAGCGTACGTGAACGGCATCCAAGCGTTGTACCATCATCCGAGCCTCGGCGTTTCAATCGACATTTCGTTGATACGTCTGGACGTTATTCAAAGGCAGCCGCTGGATCTGCCGCACTTCGGTGGCGAGAGAGGCGGCCTGTTGAATTCGTTTTGCAATTACGCGAACGCCCGTAATCCCACGGAGGATACTCATCCGCGTCATTGGGACATGGGTCTCTATGTGACCGGATTGGATCTTTATGCGCTCGAAAACGGGAAAAGGAACGGTGCCACCATGGGATTAGCCACCGTCGGCGGTCTGTGTATCCCGCTCTATTCCTGCGTGATAGCGGAATTGGGGGTCACGGATCAGCTCGGGAAGCCGTATCCGTCCGCGGGCTTTACATCGGTTTTTATCGCCGCTCACGAAATCGGCCACAAGTAAGTTTCTTTAAGCGATAAGAGAGCTAAAAGACATGAAATAATCAAATATAAATATATATAATTATATATAAAATATGCTTATATGTGTGTATGTTTTCCTTACATAAATTTATATATAATTATATACGGGTAATTTCTCAAAATTTTACTTTCTCTAAAAAACAATGTGAAAATTATTCTAATTATTTTTCAATTAATTATTTTTATTTTTTCCTATATATACAATATGCGAACAGAAATTATACAAGAGAAAGAAAATACATTATATATAATTATATATTTATAATATGGAGACGAAAACGAAATGTGACCTCTGTTCGTTTGAAAGTTTAGGAATGCATCATGACTCGAGTAACAACGCGTGTCCGAAGGACGGATACATAATGTCTCCCAGTAGGGGTGTTCGAGGTGAGACAGTGTGGTCCGACTGTAGCCGCGAGATAGCCAAGACGCTCTCGCAGACGAAACCTTGTCTCCTAGATTGGCCCGAACCAGGAAATACCTCGGACGCGGCTGCGCACGACCATTATTCGCGTTATCGCGATCTACCCGGAAGAGAATGGACCGCCAAGAGGCAGTGCGAATTACTCCTACGCGACAAGGACGCGAATGCCGTCATGTTGTATGAGTCTTGTCAGTCCCTGCGATGCGAGACACCTCGCAGGAGCGGATATTACTTCGCAGGACCGGCGCTGGATGGTTAAGCATCTTTTTCATGCCGAATATGCCAGATACGCTATGACTTCACGTTAAGCTAATTCATTTTTTTTTTCTTTTCAAGGGACTCACTGCGCACCCGGCAGGGAATGTCGCGGTGGAGAATGCATGTCCGTTCTTGAACAGCCATCTGACAGCGAAAGAGGTAGCTGGAGCGAGTGGAGGGAAGATTCCTGCAACAGCGGTTGCTTGCAACGATCCAGAGGCGCTCGAATTAGACGACGATTTTGCGAAAATCGGAATCGTAGAATAGAGGCGACAAGTTGCAAAGGGCCGTATTACGATGTGCTCTTGTGCAATGATGAGAAACTTTGCAGAAAGAAGCGCAGAACGATCGGCGAGTTTGCTACGTTCAAATGCGCTCTTTTCAGCGAAAGACTGCCGGAATTGGACGGCGCAGCGAAGGGATTGCAGGCGGAACACGAGGCTGACAGACCCTGGATGGCTTGCGCGATATTTTGCCGACGAAAGGACATCGCCGCTTATTATGCTCCGCGCGTGGAACTAAACGATCTCGGCCTCGACCCGTATTTACCCGATGGAACGTGGTGCCACGCCGAGGAGGGTCGAGATTATTTCTGCCGTCAGCATCACTGTCTACCGGAGAACTTCCTATTCGGGAAAAAATCGCCAATCAAGGATTATCGGTACGAGGAGGAATTAGGACCGCAAAATGCAGGAAATCAGTTTGGATCGACCGACCGACTCGTCAAGTATCTGACATCGGGCCCAGACGGTTTGCCATTGTTGACTTCCGTGTCACGCGATATTACCTCTTCGCCCGATGAAGATGAGTGGATTGACAAGGATTATATCGAATTACCCGCATCCGAAGCGAGCTTTTCCATCGCTTAATAGTAAGGTGAGGAAAAAAAAAGGGAAAAACAAATCAATAGTTATTAGTTGGCACGCTTCCGGGAAGGGGAATAATCGTAAAATGGTCGTTCTCTCTCGTTCCATATGAGAAAGTGCCTTGAGAGATAGGATAGGGGCGATGACGTCATCCCTTTCCCCCCACTTCGTCATCTATTTTAAGAATGTCCCGAGTATTATATTTGTATTTATATAGAAGCGAGACGGGGAGCCGGGTAACTCAGTTGATAGAGCGATTGTCTGATAATCGGTAAATCTTGAGTTCAATCCCGACTCGTGCCACCCCACATAAGGTAATGGTTACATTTAAGTAGGATTAAAAATATTTCTACATGAGAAAACAGATCCGCTATTATACAAAGTATGTAAGATAAAGGAAGCGTTGGTACTGTGTCCCGAAAGGACACGAAAATCCATTAAGAATCTTTACCTTTTCCTAAGAGCGAGACGGAGAATCGAAGGCAATAAAGAAAAATACGTATATAACTCTTATAATTTAATAATTCTCATATTATTTAGCGTACAAATAATTAATAAAGTGTTAAACTTAGGAGCTCGTTATATAACTGGACGACCGATTAAACGATCGGACTTAATTATAATTCGTCTTAATACTTAATATAAACAAAATTTTTCCTTTGTTAGACAAAGTGTACATACGAAAAAAAGAAACGATGTATGTACAAGACCCGTCGCGCAATATTCACAAACTTGTTTCATTATTTTATTCTTCATTTACGTTTTTTTGATTGACTCGATTATATATGCTTTCGTGTCACTATATATGTTAAAATGAGTACAGACTTGTTGCGTTTCTTTGTTTTGTATCATCGTTGTGAATTAACATTAATTTTTTAAACAACGATAATTTACGCGCTTTTATTTGCTACAAGTACGCGAACCTTGATTAAATGAAACATATCAAGTTTCTGACATTGCACTGTTCTTATGTTGTCTTACAACCTTCGTACATACTACACATACATGCACACATATACACCCACATATCATACGTATAATAGAGGAAACAAAGATCGAGACGCGACGATCACACAAATATTAGCGATGATAATAATAATAATATAATAATGATAATAGAGATGTGTTCTTTCTATAATAATTCTATTATTATATTATTTAATATACAATTTAATATATATATCCGTCTCTTTAGTCGATCAATTGGGCTATCGTTACGCGCGAAGAGGCCGCTATGTATAGAGACGCCAATTCGTCGAATTTCAATTCAAACTCGTCGAACATTGAAGCAGCGTCGGAGAAACTAAAATAGACTTATTTTTTAATTCGGTCTCTACAAACAAATCGCGGAGACACTTAATTGCTCTCGATCGTTCTGTCATATTTGTTGTCATCATCTTCGCTGAATACCCCGTCTGTGTACTAGAACGCACACAAAACGTATCATACGCTCGTCGATCGGGACGATTAGAGATGTCCAATTGCGTTGATATTATTCCTTACATCATACATATTTTTTTCTTTTTTTTTTTTTTTATTCATCATTATATTTGAGCTCAATTGGGTAGCGTGTCGTACAATATATCCTTAGCACTTTGCGTCAAATTTTCCGGGAATTTAATATCAAACGACACGAGCAAATCACCTTTCCGCGATGGCTCCTTCGGGAATGGTAGACCATGTCCTTGGAACCTCTTGACCGTATTCGGCTTGACAATTTCTCTCGTCAGATTTAAAGGTATTTTCTCGCCGGTTAGCGTAGGAACTTCGATGATGGTACCGCATAAAGCTTGCTTTAAGCTCAGTTTACACATATACCTAATGTCACTGCCTTCTCTCCTGAATAACGGATGCGGCTTGTCTCTAATGATAAAAACGATATCTGCCGGTTCCCTTCTTGGTGACTGATCGCCCTCCTTCTGAAAAGTGATCTTGGTACCAGCTTTCCAACCTGGTTTTACATTGATAGTAAGGAGCTTGTCCTCTTTCTTGGTGCTACCGTCTGGCTGTATGGCCCGTCTGCATATTTTCATCTTCTTCGTGCAACCGCGTAGAATTTCTTCCAAACTGATGTACAAATCGTGTTCGATAGCTGGATCTTGCGCACGATCTTTGCCGGCAGCTTTGCCAGTATTCGGACTCGCAAAATTGAACGAGTGTGATCTAAAGGCGCCACCTTGTCGTGGTGGTCCCATACCGAGTCCGAAGGGATCCATATCGATGTCCATGTCGTCTTCATGAAAGGTGAATCCTCCGCGATTACCGGCAAATTCGAACAGATTGTGAAAAGGACTGGCCGAGCCGAAGAATTGAGCGAAGGTCGCTCTGGGATCGCCGTGGAAGGTGTACGTGGCACCTCCTCCGCCTCCGCCGGCAGAGGCGCCTCCCTTGAGACCCTCCTCGCCGAATTTGTCGTAGACCTCCCTCTTCTTCGCATCCGACAGCACTTCATACGCCTCTGCTATTTCCTTAAACTTTTCCTCGGCACCCGGACTCCTGTTCTTGTCGGGATGATATCGTAAGGCTAACTTTCTGTAAGCCTTTTTTATCTCCTCATCGCTTGCTCCTTTGGCTATGCCAAGTATTTTATAGTAATCCTTCCCCATTTTTCTTCTTATTCGTCTCTATTGTTTCTGAAACAATATCCAGATCAAATGTATTATTTTAATGTACACAAATCAATCGGAGAATTGTTTATATTTTTATTTCCTTTTCTTCTTAATTCTTGAAAATCAATGTAAAAAAAAAAAATAATAATAATAATAATAATTGTGATCATTAATCGCTTTAATATTAAAATATGACAAATATTAATATATTTGAAAATTATTTGTATTTTAAAAAATATTCATAAAAGGGAATATTAAACACAAAAGAAAAGCCCTATATAAACTGGAAATTTCCGATTAATAATAAAGTTTCAAGGTTCTTTTATATTTCCATTATTAAATTAAAAATTTTTGACATTGGCAATTTTTCTTTCAAAATACATACAGCTTCCATATATGTGTATGTTATAAGTCTTAAAATACCAATGTTTGTCATGCTTTAACATTAAAGTGACTAATATGAGCACACGACGATCATTCGATGTCGACTCTTTCTTTCAAGCTACGAAGGAGATATACAATTATATTCCAGTGAATTATTTTAATTTGCTTCAATAATAAATTCACATATATAATTTAGAATTAGAATTCAATTACGCATACTTTTTCGTTATCGCCATGATCTTTCTACTCGATATGTCAAAGAAATATTGCGTACGATTGGAAGAAAGAAATAGAAACGATATGTTTCGCACGCGTTCACGGACACACATTCGCGTGTATAAGTACGGTCCCGTGTGATTATAATAGGAATGTACTAGAATCGCCGCGAATACGAGGAACGCGACCCAAGTATTTATGATCGAATTTTTTACCATTTTTTTCGCGTCGAGTTTCGAAAGGTGGAGAACCACATCGGGAGCCTCCAATATACACCCACGTACATATCACCGATATCTATTTCTGGCAATGATGACCGCGAATACACGACGAATGTTTCGCGCGATTCAAGAGCTGCAACGCAAAAATAAATACCCCACCCGAACTAAGCTCTGTGTCGTTGCCATCGTCGTCCTCGTCGCCTCGTTATATTTTTCACGAATGATACACACGAAAATCGACGCATCGCGAGAGGAGATGTACACTAAAACATACGGATAGTATGCGATTGATTCGACATTTTGCATCGACTGTCTCTCTTTCGTTTAAATTCGTAAAACGTAAGCAAGGTTACGAATGGCGGTAACAGATCTCCTTTTCTCATACGCTTTTCAACGTATTTTATTACTTACTATAAATTATTTCGTATTCTTCAAACAGGTTTCACGTTTCAGACACTTGAAGTACAGAAGTTACATACGCTCGCGAAACTTCACAAAGAATATTCGCGAAAGCAATTCTCCAAATGATACTCGATACTCCTGGGTCACGTACTAAACTGTCGCGTAACGTAACCCTGCAGTCCATATATATATAAACTTTCCATCTAGCAGCTTCCGGAACTTTCGAGAATGAATCGACGCCATTTCCGCAGCGCGACGTCGATGACGTCAAACCGAGCAACTTGCTTGGCGCGAATTTCAAATCTGTGGGCATCTTCTCTTCCTCTCTGCGACCTATTTTCGCCAATATTTTGAAAGTACGGAGATTATATCGCAAATAAAATTAAATAATATGAAAATATGTTTTACGGACAAAAGAGATTTTCTGGATGGACAATATTTTATTTTCAATTATCTGCTTAAACGTAAAAACAGAGCGTGTCTGCATTCTCGTGAATTCGGCGGCATATATTTGTCATAGAAATCTTGAACAAACTCTTCCACTTTAAAACCAAACTTTTGGTATAATATTAAGGCGGGATTGGTAACCGACACATGTAGCGTGACGTCCTGTCCCATACACGTTTGTATCAGATGATATAACATAAATGTGCCAATGCCCGATTTTCGCCATTCCGGACGCGTTAAGAGGAATGAGATGTAAGCCTCGTTATAGCCTACATACGGTACTAATATCGCGAAACCCACGACTAATTTTTTGTACAGTACGACGCACGTGAAATCTGGATATTGCAAACAGTCGGTCACTGAAACAAAATACAATATTTTAGATATATACGACGACGTAGACATATTATTCGGCAAGCAAACGTGTATTTACTTACAATCTATATCAGGCCAAAAAAATTGTCTACACAAACTATTGATCGCAGGAATGTGTTGTGGTCTAATGTAAGAATAATCGATGGGCGCTCTTAGCGGTGGCTTCCATTGTGGATTGTTTCTATTTGTTTTTGCGCACAGCTCTTCCATAATTTTTAACCACAGTGGTTGACAAGAAGTATCTCGCCTTATAAACGGTTTCAAAAGTCTATTCGTATACGGACTGTGTACAGATGTAGGCTCATTGTAACCCTGCAATCTTTGTTCAAAAATGCATCCCAGATCATCGTTAAAATATCGATCCAACACTCGCCCGTTATCTTTTGATAATGTCGCAGATGTTCCCTGTTTAGATCCAAAACGATCAATATCCAATAATGGAAGTTGGTATTCTCTTTTTATTTTTCGCACCGCTAATTTTCTATACAATCTTTTAACAGCGGGCGGTGCTTCCGAGAGATCAGTTTTATTGATTCTTTGCAGTAAATATAGCTCTTCCTGATAAGTCATGCGCGGTATTTTATTATCTGAAATATACACAATATAAATATTGTGATTTTACACTACATATACAATTTGATCAAAAATGATTACCAGCAGTGGCAAATGACTTAGACCAAGGTCGTGGACGGCGTTTTGTTTCTTTAAATAAGGAAACTGGAGGTTGCTCTAGTATGGAAACGGGACTATCGGGACTTTCTTCGTCATACCCTTCTTCCTCTGTTTTAATTTCATCACCAGTATATTTTGGCGATAAAGAACTCGTATTATACAACCAGTCGCAATTATCCATCAGTTGTGACAAGTGAAAATTGTTGTTTTCATATTGACAATCGCGCATTATATCAGAGATAGATGGGACCTCATTTTCATCGTGTAACATTATATCATCCTCGATATCCATGTCTACAAAATATAATTTTCTTAAAACACCTATTTAAAAACACCATTTATGCATTTTGTTTTCTACCCTCTACTATATACCATTTGGCTCATCTTCTTCGAATAGAAAATCAGACAATGTCTCTGTAGGTTGAACATATGCATGAGAATATATTGATGAGCCTCTGTTTTTAAATAATTCTCCACTACAGTTGCTATCTTCTCCAACAGAGATGCTGGAATCTGATGGCGCAGGACTATTTAATGATTTAGAAGACAGTTTTGAACCAATATGTTTTTTTTTATCAATTAACATTTTGCTATCTGTGGAAATAGATTACACTGTTATTAATGCTCTCCGAAAATTGCATATCTACTATATAATTTCAGTTACATTACTTTTAGCAATTAAAACTTCAGGTGGATCATTGTCTGATAATTTCCACCATCCAGACTCTCCTAATTCATTGGTACCAGACTTGAAAAAGATTGCACTATAATGAGATAGCGTACCAGATATAGTACCGATCCAATTTTTCTTTCTCTTCCTAAGTGAACATTAAATTAATATTTCAGAACCTTTTCCAAATATATCGGTAATATAAATGTAATAATGCAGAGTACTTACACAGTCTTCTTGAACAAATAATCCCAATTTCTGTCCACAAAAGTACTAATATCAGATTTCCAATGAAAGTATCCTCTTTTACTAATACCGCTTGATTTTTCACGTAGGTTGTAAAGCGTTAAAATGATGACATTGAGCCATGGCATTCTATCGCGTATGATCATTTCCTCACCTAGTGGATTGCAAGAGGCACAATTCAACTCGAAGAAAACGTCTCCTACAAAAGACATTGGAACGCTGCCTCTCTCCAAACATTCTATATGTATTCTTTTATCGCAACCACCACTACAACGTAACGACGGTTTATCATAAGGATCGCATGCTTTTTCACAATTCTTGCAATTTTCCGTACTTTCAACCTCATTCAGTTCTTCTTTGGGATTTTTTGTACTTTCAACAGCTTTTGACATTTTACTAAAGGAATGAATCAGAGTCTACTTAACCTCTATTTTTCATTGTTTCATTCAGTAATTGGAATTATGTCGATAATTATTAATCAAAGATTCAAACTCTATAAAACTCTATTTAGCGGAGACTGAAATCCGCTTAGGAGAAATTTGAATCCAACTTAGTAAAGTAAGATTTGAATTTATATCAGCAGAGAGAGAAAGCCACGTTATGCTAAAGGTGCCTTTACATGGCAGCGTTAAGCGTCGAGCGTCTGCGCAGAAAATTGCGCAGAATCTAATTTCAGCCTAGAATCTATCTCTTTTAAATTCTGCGCATTTTTCTGCGCAGACGCTTAATGCTGCCATGTAAAGGTGCCTTAAGCCACTTTTTCACACATGCGTGTCGGATTAGTAAAGTATTCAGTTGGATTTTAAAAAGTTTGCACGTCGAACTTTTTTGCATTGAATTTTTTTTACTCTTAATTATTTTAATTGTTATTATTATTTATTATTAATATATATCATTCTTTGAAAAATTCTTTTAATTTGAAAATATATTTTGTAATATACATGTTTTTTTTATTACGCGTATAGTCCTACACTATTATATTTTAAATACGTAAATATCCCCGGATTCAGATCCACTTAACAAAGAATTCAAATTGCCATATTCAATTACGCTAAAACAAAATTTTCTAGGAAGAAGAAATGTGGAAAGAATTTTTGGAAAATAGATTGGTTAACATTTTATTAATACAATTTATAAATATTTTAATTCAATCTCTCTCTGGATATAAATCATTTTACATTTTACATTCAGTTTCCTCGTTTGCATTGAAAATATTTTAACACACGATTAATAGGCACGATTCAAATAAAAGAGAAAATGCCTTAAAAAAACACAATCAATGTTTAAAGTATTGCACAATAAAATCAATAAGTTTCAAACATAAACTTATCATATTTTTTATCAAAATATATGAAATCTTCTTTAGTCAGATTCCAATTTCTTAATATGTATCAGCTTGGAAACTTTATCTATCAAATGTGTCAAATGAGTTTTATAATTTAATGGTACAATCGATGCACAAGTGTGTTTCATTCTCATCTCATCCTGAAAGATGTAAAAATGAAAATAGAAAATAAAATATACATGGCTTAAAATACAATTGGTCTGTATATAATATTAAAGGAAGAAAAGAAGAACTAATAAAAAGTCAAACTGTGGGGAAGGTGATCTTATAAAGTAGTAAAATACATTATGAATTGATTACCTGAAAAACTTCCGATTTTACCCTCAAAGTGAATGTGAACCTCTTGAAATTCGCCTCGTTTAATTTCTGCATATAAGCATCATTATCCTTTTCTTTCAATTCTCCCAATTCTTGTGCCGACATGCCCAATATCTTTTCGGCATCTTCATTGAAAGCAACTATCCAGCGATTGCCTGTTGAGTCTGCTATGTTCATCTGTGAATTATTCGTGAATCTTTTATACATATTTCAGAAATTAGTTTTAAACAATGAGGAGGCTGTGATAAAGTTAATACATACACTTGCCAGCAAGCGATAAACGAAATTCGGATAATCTTTATTACACTTCTCGCATCTAAACATTCCGGTAGATTGATCAATCAGCTAAAATCAAATATGTTATATATAATTATATGTAACATATATCTTGGAAATATCATAAATTTCCGCTTTATAAATATGTACAACTGGTATATACAACTCACCTTCTTTTTGCAAATATCTATGGGACATGCCTTATAGATAGAATTTTCCATGCGAATTAAATTAATAGTCGCCACAACTTTATATGAGTCTGCAAGATTTAATCTTTCTCCCAATCGTGTTTCAGTCGCTTCCTGGAAAGTGTACAATGGCACGTTGAAATCGCCTGCATTTGGTTTAGACAACGATTTAACATTCTCCAAATGACTTGTTGCAGTGTACCATCTGCGCAAACTAAAACAAGCATTATATATGTAATGTGCAATATATATCATATAAAAATTATGTTACTATATATTGTTATGTATTATATTCATGTAACTATATATTTATCTTTCTCTCTTTCTGTATACTTAAATATATATACGAGTATATATACTTAAATATATAT